TATATATATATATATATATATATGTGTGTGTGTGTGTGTGTGTGTGTGTGTGAGCCATTTATACGGAATTAGACTAAGTCATGTTTAGAACACAGATTGTAGGCCAATATGTATGTTTCCGGTGAGTTCCTTCTCAAACCATTTCAATCACATTTATGTAGGAAAATAACGAGGTGTTGTGTTGGGGTCAAATAGTCGAGGTCAAATAGTTATAGCAAAGGGATGGGGTAGGGACAAGCTTGTCTCTCGTTCTCTGTTTCAGATAAGAAACGTGTTACGTAAGCATTCATAATTGATTTGAGTCATCACAACGCGTATGCGTGATGTTGTACGCTTTGGGCCAGGTTAGTTTAAGTGCCAGAACAAGTATTTCTTTAGCACACAATTCTGGCTTCAACAAGCAGATGATAATTGCCTCGGCTGTTGTTAGCGTTTTAATTCGAACAGCNTGAGACGCGATAGATGATGATGAAAGCCGAACTAGCATCCACCCTATGTCCGGTTTCAACCAACTGTACAACAATCGAACTGGAAATAACTCCTATTCCTCCGTGTCTAATCCAAGCGGGGTTGCTGTTCTTTGATGTGTTTAGGTACTTGCCTTCTCGTACGACCTATATAAATGGCACCACACGTGTCATATTTCTATGTAATGAATTTCTAGGGTCGAATGATGTGATACCGCTGGTGTACAATTTTCACCCACATGTTTGCTTCTACTTTTTCCTGCATCATTCGGACTGCGACTGGCAATGTCTGACTGATGATGCCATCTTGATACAATGCTTTCGCTGTGACAAGGAAAGAGTTTATGCTCTATCCGAGAGAAATTCCTCTGTTAAATCCACTTCTTCCTGTGTCCATAAATGGGCCCTTTCTGATATTTGAATAAGCAAAGTGCCTGATTTTAGTCACAAGCTTGACCAATTCTGCCATATGATTTGTAACTTGTTGCCAGGATACCAGAAGATCACGCCGTTCGTTGGAGGGGGTGGGGGTGAGTGTTGTCTTGCACCAGTACCTTAAGCTTGGTGCAATCAATTAACCTGCAAGTGTTATCGATCGAGGTGCACAGTGATGATGCGTATCGAAGATGGTCAAACAACTAATAGAACATGATCGCGGGACCCGAATGAAGTTGTGATAAAAACTTGCTTTCACCATCGATTTCGCGTTCCAGGTCCAAGATGATGACGGATTGGTTCCAAACCTGGTTGATTCCTTTTCGTAGTCGTAAAGTTTATGTGAATCAATGAACTGTGTAAATGCCGCTCACACGATAGTGGCTAAGCCTAGTTCGGGCACTTCAAGTTGAGTATCCAGAAGATGCAAGAACATGCATTAAGTTGAGTCAGAGTTCGCAGCAGGATTTCACAGGTGTCGTTCACTGCCAATTCGAATCCCAGCGGGGTCGAATTCATACAAGTATGAAACACGAGAATACCACAAGCATAGATTCGCGCAATGTGCCCTGGGTCATTTCGCTGCTTCGTAACCTGCCGGCTCAGTAACCACACCTGAACCAGTATGCTCTGTATGTGACTGACCACTCCGAATCCCCAAGGGCTTAGGTTACCGATTTTCATGGCTAGTGAACGGTATGTCTTCGTGACTGTTGAGTGTACTTCGGCTGTTTGTCACAGTGTGTGATAAAAAGAAACCACTATGGTGAAGTTTCGCAGTCAACCACGTAACGGAAACAACCCCTCAGGTGTAATTGTTGATAACAACAGAAAAAACATGATTGAGACGAGTGGAGGGTGAACAATCATGTCAGGGTGCAGATCCCATTTCTCTGATTGTGCTTTAACCTAAAATCTAAAAAATCAAACAACTATCGTTCTTCTTCTCAAGGGAAACAAAGAAATTGGAATGAGTAGTATTAAACGGTGTTAAAATGATGGGGCAGGTAAAAAACAAAATATCAATGGTGGTTGTGGTGTAATGGTGTCGTCGCTGTTCCTGTCGTGATTTATAGCCTGTGGCCTGAGGTTCGAGCCCCGCCACCGTCACCCAATTTTGGTGGTTGGCAACTTTGCTGTCACTCGGTTCTATACCATGCCTGACCTAGCGGAGCTTTATGTGGTTCGCCACTCCAAGTCCCGGGAATTAGCTTGCCGGTTATCATCATTGAATATCAGGTCTTCGTGACTGTGGGGTCTGCTTCGTTCATCACACACTGGTGTAATAAAAGAGAAATAACGTTTGTACAAAACAGCCATTGGAATATTATCTTACAACCATCTTTCAACCATTCCTAGAAACACGTCAGCTAATGTTGAGTCCAAGAGAGTGCCCGTTGCTACACCGTCAATTTTCTTGTGCGCTTTTTCTTCAAATTTAAAACGTATGTTTCCAGTGCAAACAAGGATAAGATCCTTTAAATAATCAATAGAAGTAGACAGTTAAATATTCATTGAAGAGATATAGTCACGTAAAGACTTGACTGTTTCACGGAGACGGGCAACCAACATCAGTGGAAAACATCTTGCGAGAAGATCAATTAAAATTGTCTAACAAATGTGCAGACTGAAAACAGTCTTTAACACAATTAGGCGTCAGAACGTAACTAATAGGATCCGATCACCCACGGAGCCACGTTGTGATATGGTAAGTTCTACATGTATAAGATTGGTCTGAACGGGACACCGGCTTTGAGGATCTTGGGTGAACCTCTCATTTGGAGTGTCTATGTTCCCACTGGTTTCAGAATTTTGTGTTGAGCTTCAGAAATGTATCCATGTAATTGCAGAATCTGAAGCTTTCTGGTGATCATGTTTTCCGTGAGATTGTTGTTATAAATCCATTGTGAATTCGCTCTCGTTCGACAACATTTAGTCTATTTTCTTCATAGTTTTCTTTGGTCATAGTGATTAACTCAGAGTTCTTGTCTAGTTTGAGAAATTTTGATTCCGATATCAGCCTCGGTTTCTGTAGTGTTCTGCTTTGAGGCAATTTTGTTGCCTAATAGGTGCAAAGTGTACGGTGTACGTAACAGGGATAGCCAAGTGAAAATCTTGGACGTACTGAGCGATTATTCCACTCCTGTTAGCCTACTATTGAATCAGCCTTGTTTGCTGCTATGTTCCTTGTGCCCGAATCCGCAATTCATCATGGTTGGATCGAGGCTTAGAACTGATCTAATTCCAGTCTGTTCTCACAGTCGATGAATGAGCATAGATCTATTGAACTGTGAAACAGTTTCTTGTGCCTTGTCGTGTGAAGTGGAATGCCGACTGATTTCCTGGCTAACTCTGTATCAGGTATACGACTGACTCCAAAATGTCATTGACAAGCGTCATAATGGGTGGGACTGGTGTTGTCAGCTCGTCCAATAAGATTGCATTGAGAAAACAGTTGTATACGATCGGACGACAGCTGAGAGATAACGTGGAGGTAACGGCCTAGGAAGTGGGGGTGAAGATGAAAGATAATCGATTTTACGTAGAGAACCATAATGTTTAAACAGAAGAATGTTTGAGTTGATTAATGTACCGAAGGAGACAAGATGCAAATAATGTGTAAACATCATTGCAGATTTGCCCGGGTGGTGTTGATTTTTGCGGCCGTTTGTCACTGTTCACGAGGCCCCATAGAGGACCTATTGTGAATGGCAAACATTTTGGGTTACTTCACCGTTCGTGTGCAAAGAGACGGTCTACCATCTTCTAACTTCTTACACTGCTTGGACAAGGCAATCTAGTGTTACACGTTCACTACACATATGAGTGCAAGGACTCAGGTTTGTTGTTTCACTGGAATCAAATAAATTGGGACTCATTTTGAAGTTTCTGTTGTTGCCTCCTCTCCCAGCCCCCGACACACAATGGATGAATGTGTGGCTTCAGGTGCTATCAATTCATGTGAAAACTTTGGAAAAAAGTTCAACCAGTCCACGCATTCTTTCCCAACTTGTTTGACTGAATTTCCGTATGAATACTACTGCAAGTAAATCACCACATTCCAATCAGTGTGATCTATAATTCCGGAGGGGATGCGGTTAATTCTTTTTGGTGTCCACAACGTGCTTGCCAAGCGTGGGTGGTTGTCATTTAATCGAGTACTTCCCCGCTACATACATCCGAATAACACAACCTGTTCGATTATATAAGTAAGAGTGGCGGTTGCTTTCGAATTTATGTGACACAGTGTGTCGTTCACCATATCCAAACAATAATGTTATTCTTTTCTTTTTTTGTTTGCTTCCACAACAAAGATACTAGCCAAATTCAGTCTATTGAAGATTGAAAAACAGTGAACTGGAATGGATATCGACAAAGGCGGTGTTTGAACTCATACGTACATACACATACACACTGCACCACAGAACCACCGATTCACTTCTATCTTTCAGGCTAGTCTCACCAATTTTGGAGTGATATTCTGTCCTGATTTCACTGTAATTAGAATTTTAGTGCATATCTTACGTAGGCTTGTTACGAGAAAAAAGTGATAACATGGATCAGGATGCTATTATGCTGTTATCTGAGAAAACAGTTGTCATCTAAGATACCTTAACCTACCCAATCGTGACAAAATGGTGCCGTGTATGATTACTCTTGATTTAGGTTTGCTTGTACTCACGAGAATAGTGAGCCAGTAAGCGTTCAGGTGTTGGAAGATAATGGATTGGATAGGAAATCTTGCCGGAAAAATTGAATAGTTGACCGTCCTTCCGTCCGCTTGGTGATCAGAGGGCGCATCAGCACCTGACTGCTTTGATGAAGCCCGATTAGTCAGATCATATAAGTCCACAGAGAAAAGAACACAATCTAAATCTCACTGTATCAAAAGCGGAATACCGCCATATCATTTCCGATTGTAATCCATTATTTTATTCATTAATCATTTGGCGTTCGGACTAAGTAAACGCAGGCGTAGACCCTATCTTCTTTCAAGAGGTTGCAATAGTGTCCCGGTGATTGAGTCCTCGGTGAATGTGATCCACGGTTCGATTTTCACCAGAACAAATGTAACCGGTCAATAAATGAAAGACAACGTTCAATACGACGCCGTTTGTGTCCCATCCATTTGCGAGACGCCCACATCGAAATACATTGCTGGGTGAGGGGAGGGGCATCTGCGAAAAGTTTGATTTATCCATGGGATCTGCATTCAACCAGTACATTGTCAATGGTATCTCATCCACTGCCCCAAACGTTTGCATCGCGACTATCAGTTGAATACGATAGCCTTACAGCACTGCAACATTATTCTGTATAACCAACCAATGCGTGCAAAGTTCCTATTGCTCAGAGGCGCTGTTTTTCATCATACCCAAGTCAATGTTGCATTCTTTTTTTAGGTGCAGTGCAAACTCGCTCATGTGAGAAGTTGTATGTGTCATAAATGAATCCATTTCAGATTTACTAAGTTTATCCTCCAAACCTTTCTCTCTCCCCCGCTCCCACTTCAGTCATCCCCGAAAACCGGAGAACGTGTGATCGAAATAGAGCATGTGATTCGCACCAAACCGTCGGGCTATTCATCAGGTCAGTGCGGCTGTTGCGCGTTTATCTTTTGATCCCGCACGTTTCCCATTTTGATCGAAAGAGAAAGAGAGAGATCGGTGGTTGGCCTCAAACACCTTTGCATGATTCACCTCTCTCTCCATTACTCTCGCTCTTTCTCACTGCCCACTTCTGACGCAGGAGTGTTGTTGATCAGAGATGCAATCTCTCATGTGTCACACATTTCAGTGTGAGTTGCATGTAAATGGGCTCACGTCTTCATGGTCTCGACTATGTAATGTTCATTTCAGGGGACCGGCGAAGCCCTGGGACTTAGACGAGGACCGAACCACATTTGATCCGGTGTTGAATCGGACAGTTGTGCACGGTGCTTACCACTGAATTTAATGTGATCTGACCGGTGTGTTATTTCTCTGGGTAATCGAAGCGGTGAAATTTCGAATCATTCATTGCTGGAAAGTTCCCTCATGGGTTTATAAAGCTTATTCTGAATTGAGTTGAAACGTGAAACAAACGAGTAGCGTCCACTTCTCAGTGGAACCCCGTGTCGACGCCCAACAGGGGTTGAAAACTGGAAAATTATATATCTTCAATACCACATATTTGCTACATTTCTGATCGCCATGAGACATGTTACCACCGCAACAGTCTAGGCAGGGTCTTTGAATTTCTACCATGGTTTTGCCAAATCGGACAAATATCCACCATTTTGCAGTGGATACTCTTGACTGTGCACGTTTAGATTAAGTTATCAATTTTGCAAGGTTAAATGCTATCCTACAGCTCTTCCATTATGGAGTCCCTTTTTGTTTTCGCGTATGACGTCAGAATTACGGTTTTTGCTCATTCCGTGAGGAATCGAAACAGGATCCATGTCACCATAAAAAATATCGCGCTGGCCGGCGGATCGCACTGAGGTGAAGTTACGTCGGCAGAATGACGATTCCACCTGCTTTTTTCAAGTAAAATTCACTCGCTCGTAGGAAAAATCTGTGAAGTTCAGAAACTGCGAAATTGTGGGAGTCATTCTGCTTCAAGAAAGTTAGTTACACCCAGACATTAAGGACGATACCGTTGGATTGGGTGGCTTTGATGTTTTCAGGAGTGACCGGAATGAAGTTCCGCAGCGGAGGTGGCGAAGTGGTCACTGGTCAATTAGTGAATATGTATATATATCCATCACGACGAGACTACACCTTGACGTGGTGTGATGGCTTGTGCACATCTGTGACCCAACGAGCTACACAGGATGGCTTTATAAAGCCAGGAGATCTTATCATGTCTGGAAGGTCAATGGGTAGAGACGAAGTTCAGTTTCCTGGTTCTCCAGGTTGGGGGTTCGCCTGGAATTTGGCGTTTCAGTCGATAAAAAACGGTGGTGGAGTAATCGATCCAAGTAAATGGGCCTCCCCTTCTCCTTGCGGTTAGGTTCTTGTTAGAACTAAAGGCTTTGGACGAGAACACTACTCGTTCTCCTGCTCAGTGGCTAGACACCCTAGCAGTACCCGTCAACCAAACCCCAGTGCATACACAAACAACAAAATGATTCCATAATGCATCGGTCGTCGCGCAGGATAATCAGGACCGCGCTGCCCATTGCATCGAGCGGGGTGGGTAGTGATAAATGGGCTACTCCTCAGGTATCCCAACCTTTGTTCAACTCTTTGTCTTCCGTTCCCAACCCTCTCCCTTTACCCCTTCTACCGACCTGTAATAGTCCCTCAAGCAACTTGGATGTCGCTCGCCAAATAGCACTGTAAGTGAATTACCACGGAATGGATCGCAGATTCTGAAGCCTCGTCAATCACTGAATCTGGGGGCCTTCAACGTGAGGACTTTGATGCAGCTAGGTCAACACGCTTGTCTGACTCGCACAATGGAATCCTTAGGAATCGATATTTGCTACGTGTGGGGAACTGGGATCCAGGATCCTACTACTCTAAGCCACTTCAGCGCGCCAGAGTTGTCGACGAGATACGTTCTTCGCACATCAGGCGACAATGAAGCTCGTTCAGTAGGTCAGCGAGGAGTAGGTATTGTACTGAGTAATAGGGCGGAGTCCTCTCTTATCGATTCAATCCCCGTCAACAGTCTTTTATATGCAGTGCGTTTCCAGGGTTCAATCAGCGTCCGGAAGGGAAGCAACACAAAAAG